GTGTGCAGAAGTCAGGACCTTTCTTCAGCGCACGGCTCCAGCCACCGTTAATAAATTGGATCAGGCAAGGAGTCTCGATGAGTTGCGCGAGTTGCGTCGGGATCCGGACTTCGCCCAGGGGCCCTCAAGTCTAATCTACGATCCTGAGTGGATTTCACTTTCGGCCATAAATTTATTTTGCCAACCGACGAGCTTCGATTCCTGCCCCTCACTCTTGTGGTTTCCTTTTTATTCGCGATTCTTTTTGTTCCTTCGCGGAATCTTCGAACTGAACTGATTGCTATATACTCGGGGTATCATGCACTGTATTTGTGTAATTTGACCTCTTGACGCGGCATGCCGAGAAGTTTTCGTTCCAAATTGTAACACTTTCTCAGTTTTCAAGTACACTTAAGTGAAACGTAAGTAGGCAAAATGATAAATTTATTTACTTTTCAATCGTTTCTAGTGAAATTTATTATTCTGAATAATTTCCAGCGATGTCACACGGACGAGCTCGAAAAGATAGCGACGAATTGTTGTACACGGTTTTGGTCACTCGTTATGGTCCGCAATCGGTTGCCAGCGCAACTGGTTAATGTTCTTGCAAGTGTAATTAATATGAGAACTCTCGAAGCGGTTGAAACGATCAATTTATATAATTCTCTGTGTCTAAACTTTATTATTGCGTTATTGCGTATTTTCAGAGATTTGAATGACTGTGTAATGTGTAAATAAAGACTTGAGCACTCTCGCGTTATAAAAATTCACTATTTTTTCATCTAGTATCATTTTATCTAAAAAAAATTTGTACCAGTGCATTTTCGTCCATACTTTGCTGTAAAAATCAATAAACAATTCCTAGTTCAACATAACAATATCGATATTGTGCTACATTAAAAGATACTTGTTATTAAAGTGTGTACTATGACAAGTTGAACTATTTCTATTCCTATAAACATTTTAGAATGATTAAAATAAAATGTGCATCATCGACAAATAAATTTCAAGCAGCATGAATAACACTGACAATATCAAAAAATGAAAGATACGCTTTCATTGCACTTTCATCGTAGTACAATACCATTATTTTGTCCCATAGGCGAAACATGTGTGCAGCAGTCAGCGTGTTAAGAAATTGAAGATTTCATTCATCTATCAAGTATTACAATAAATACTTTAGATATTTTGTATGCTTTTGAATATACCAATACTATGTGTTTTTATAAACATAATTCGAAAAATAGAAGCAATCTAAATAAACAATATACTTTAATTTTATATGGTTTTATATATCATGTGCAATATGCAGATTTTTGCATATACGTAAATATCCACAGTTTGCTTATTGTCAGGTCGCGAATTTATATTTTTGTGTCTTTATGACATAAGTAGCCTAAATTTGTTTCATTTACTAAATATCATATATATGGTATTCTATAATAAGTATTCTATTTCGTATACTTTATATATTATTATTACTATTATATTACTATTATCTTTATTATAATAATTATTATTATATTACTATTATCTTTATTTTAATTATTATTATTGTATTACTATCATCTTTATTTTAATTATTATTATTATATTACTATTATCTTTATTTTAATTATTATTATTATATTACTATCATCTTTATTTTAATTATTATTATTATTATATTACTATTATCTTTATTTTAATTATTATTATTATATTACTATTATTATTATTGTTGTTGTTGTTATTATTATTATTATTATCATTAGTATTTGTTAATTACATACAGAAAAGAATTCCTATTAAAGCACAAATTGAAAGTAAATAATTCGTACGTAACAAGGAGAACAAAGAAGAATCTAACAAAAAGGAAACTTGAACAATTACAAGCCATTCAAATTTGCATGCAGAACCAGAGTACAAAATATTATACTCACGAGTGTATTCACTTTTGCGCATTTCAAAAATTTACAGTCCACTCGTTATCCATGAAGTTCGAATTTGACGCTGACCAACCATCGCTCATTAAATACGCTGTTCCATCCTCGGTTATCAGCCTCGAATAAAGAGGAGAAACGTCCACTATTAAATCGCGGATACAAATCTTCACGGAGCCCCGTATCACCAAGAATACACGACGAAATTGACATTATCGTTTAATAAACGAGTCGCGACGATTACGTGGCAACATATTTGATGGAAGCGGGAGAAGGTGGGAGGTGGAGGTGGTCGGACAATTTCCCGCAACGAGAAGGCTGTTATTAAACGCGAGGACAGGACATCGATCGCGGGAAATTCAATTGCAAAGTCATACATACTGCACGCGAAAATCCTCGTGAACGATCGCATTAATTTTGCAGGGGCGACGGACTATTGCCAAATGACACACGGGTACGAGTTCGCCCGACGATATAATTGTTCCGCGGTAGTTGCAAAAGTTGGTTTCCGGCGTGGATGACTTGTTGCAAACAGAGCGGACGTGCCGAACGCAATCGAATTCCTGGAATTTTCGCGTTCCTCGCGAGCCCGCCGCGATTTTAGATTCAACCATGCGGAGGAAAAAATCGCGCGGAATTGAAACGTGGCCGGAACGCCTCGAGGATATTGAATCAGGAATGCACGGATGTCAATTAACGGGAGATCCATGTGAAATTTTTGAACGCACTGACAGAGGGAAGCTGAAATTAGTATTGGTACTTGTTTGTAGGTGTATATATTTGATTGTGTATATATATATATATTGTTACATTATTATAACAAAATGTGAGTACTTGTTTTCTGTAATGTATATATATTGTTACATTATTATAACAAAATGTGAGTACTTGTTTTGTGTAATGTATATATATATTGTTACATTATTATAAACAAAATGTGAGTACTTGTTTTGTGTAATGTATATATATATTGTTACATTATCATAACAAAATGTGAGTACTTGTTTTGTGTAATGTATATATATATATATATATATTGTTACATTATTATAACAAAATGTGAGTACTTGTTTTGTGTAATGTATATATATTGTTACATTATCATAACAAAATGTGAGTACTTGTTTTGTGTAATGTATATATATTGTTACATTATTATAACAAAATGAGTACTTGTTTTTAATACTTGTTTTATGTAATATGATTGTGTATATATATTGTTATATTATTATAACAAAATGTGATTAATTGTTGCAATTATATTGGCAAAATTTGATACCAATTTGAAGATGTATGTAGAACATGTGCAATATTAAATATATATTAAATATAAATAAAAAATTAATATATGTCATAATATTAATTTTAAACATGTAATAAGTTCAGCTATCATGATTATATTAGTCAAATTTGAAGCAAATCTAAAAATGTATATGTAGGCATAGGAAGATTAATATTATAATAAGTATTCTAATTTTATTATAGAAACTGTAACTTTAAAGTGTACTGGCATCGGTTTTTATAAAAAAAAAATTGTACTAGATTTTTGATACTATATTTCGCATCTACTATATTTTTATTTTATTCCCTATTGTTATTTTAATTATAATACTATTAATTTCATTCTCTATTGTTATTTTAATCATAATACTATTAATTTCTATTTTCTACATTCAAAATTATTAAAGTACGTGGTAAACCAAAAAAAAAAAAATATCCAACGCTTCGAAAAACATACTCCAAAAAGCATTTCAAAGCATCACCCGATCAACACGACGAAATAAACGGCAAGCAAAACCATAATTACGGTGAAAATCCGAAATTGAACGCGATCTTGCAGGTGGATGCACATCGTTAGAGCGAACAGCAGTCGATACCAGGCGAGGGCAGATCCGTCGTGTTCGGCAGCCGAGCGAGTCGCATGAATTTTTATGAGCTTAGGAAATTAATTTGTGTTTTTCGTTAAGCTCCGGCTTAGCGCCGTGGTAATTAATTGCGCTGATTGCTCTGCATCATTGATAAGCGGTTCTCTGGATTTCGTAACGTTTACCCCCATTGGACAATCTCTCTCTCTCTCTCTCTCTATCTCTCTCTCTCTCTCTCTCTCTCTCTCCTTTTCTACCTTTACAGCCTCACTTTATCCATTTCTCTGTTTCACTTGTCAGCTTGTTTCACATACACGCATCGTTTCTCTTCATCCCCTCTTCGTGCTTTTGTCTGGGCATGCTTCGGTCGCGGCGCGCGTTTTTTTTTTTTTTTCCTTTTTTCGGATTTACGACGAACGAGTGTGTGTTTCTGGTAATTGGCCCGCGCGAACCAGCCATTCCGCGTTAAATCATGCACCAGGCGATAGGGTGCTTTCGAATTTTTGTCAAACCGGCGGCATACGCCAGATCGGATGGAATGATGAATCGGGGATGAGCGTCTGTTTTTTAGGCGGTTTGTTAAAAAAATACGACTTACTGTTTTGTACGGGATATCTGTTCTAGCATTCAGACGTTGATAAACGTGGACAAAAATGTTACTAAAATGTTTTATGTAGGGTATCTCGCATTTTGATGCTCACAAAACGTTTCTAAGCAAAAATAAGACTAAAATGTCCACAAATGCTTCATTAAAAAATGTATAAGTAACATATTGCGTTAATTTAAAAAAAAAATGCATGCGTTATTTATGAAAAAAGAAAATATTATATAAATATATATATATATGTATGTATAAAATTGTCATATAGTTCACTTACAATTTTTCATCTTTTTCTAAATTTTAAAAAAAGATATATAAATTATTATATAAATATATATATATATATATATATATATATATATATATAAAATTGTCATGTAGTTCACTTACAATTTTTCATCTTTTTCTAAATTTTAGAAAAAGATATGTTTACGTAAATTATCCTACATTTGACAAAGTTCGGTTTTCTCGGAAGCGGAAGTCTTAAATGATAAAATATCATTCTTCCTCGATTTATTTTTCCATTTAATACTTATGAAAATTCTCATTTGTAAAAGCTTCTTATAATACCTTCATTTCTTCAAAAAGAAGAGATTAATTCTAATCGCGATACACGTTTCGATCGCGTTACAGATACCAGTTACTCGGCGTATCATCCAGCCTTGCACGGAGTCGGCGAGGATTCTTTCGTGAGACGAAAGCAAAGAAGGAACAGGACCACGTTCACTCTTCAGCAACTCGAGGAACTAGAGTCAGCGTTTGCACAGACACATTACCCGGATGTTTTCACGAGAGAGGACCTGGCGATGAAGATTAACCTCACCGAAGCCAGAGTTCAGGTTAGCACGGCAAAACGAACGTGATCCTGTTTTACCAAATTTAGAGAACATTTTAAAAATCAGGCATGCAACGCAAATAGTATAACGAACGTGTGATTTCCAATCTACGAAATTTAACACGTGAATTGGAATTTAAGAAGTAGTTTGGAAACTACTGATCCTATGGAACAAATTGAATTATGTGAACTTTAATTGAACCAAATTTTAGTCGAGACAGTCTGACTTTTACTGGTTGAATTCACTCATTTGAAAATGAACTTCTATTTAACGAACTTTCTATTTAACAAATGAAAAATTATTAGTACAAGGGATAATCGGTGTGAACTGTATGAACTTTAGTCAGGATAAGTGAAATTCAATAAATATAAATTTCTATCAATCAAATTTCTAAAAATGAACGAATGAATAATTTAGAAACAGAAGAAAAGGGAAATTTAAAAAATATAATACTCTAGTTAGAATTTGAAGACCAATTTGAAAATAAATCATATGAAAAAAATTAAATAGATATAGAATAAAATTATTAAAATTTTGAAAAACTAACTGTATCGAATAAAAACTGAAAATTAGTAAAATTCCTACAGAGTAAAATTTCTATCAATCAAATTTCTAAAAATGAACGAATGAATAATTTAGAAGCAGAAGAAAAGGGAAATTTAAAAAATATAATACTCTAGTTAGAATTTGAAGACTAATTTGAAAATAAATCATATGAAAAAAATTAAATAGATATAGAATAAAATTATTAAAATTTTGAAAACTAACTGTATCGAATAAAAACTGAAAATTAGTAAAATTCCTACAGAGTAAAATTTCTATCAATCAAATTTCTAAAAATGAACGAATGAATAATTTAGAA